TTACAAAGTTGTATCGCGAAAGAATAAACTAGTTTTAATTAAGAAAGGATTTGTTTCACCAAAGTTCCTCGGAAATAAATAAACGAGCAGATACTAACAATATTAATGGTGAAACGAAAACAAAGTCATAGACAGACATTTTTCAAAATAGACAGTTTTGAGGAATCTGTCCATTCAAACAGACAGTGAATGACTCCGAGTCTGTTCACAAGTGAATTCAACATTGTAACAGTTTCCGGTTTCTAGCCAATTTAAAAATGTGGTCATATGAATAAGAGCGCATGACGAAAGTAATGATTTTTCTAACACCTTTGCGAAATTGGAATTACAGCTCACAGTACTTCTATAGTCTCAATTTGACTCTATTTTAAGTGTAAGATTTTCTTGCAAAGGGAAAATGACGTAATTTAATTTATATAACGAATTGTTTTAAATATTTATTAAACGATGAACCCATTATTGATGCGGGAATGCATATGCATTTTCTATTGTGTATCATTTTCATTTTTAGCATTGTGGACTTGGAGCTACAGCTCCACCAGCCCCCGCCTTAATTTGGCCCTGAGTATGCAGACTACCAGCTCTTACACTGTTGTTTGGATTGGCATCTGTTAACCATAGTTCCGATTTGAAGTGTACCAGCCACTCCCAAGCTTTTCATACTGGTCTTACTACATCCAATTATCAAGATTCTTGTTTATGTGTCTCATTCTGGCAGGATATACTGTCTATCCCCTTTCTTATTTTATTCTAAGGCCATTTGATGATCAAGACCAGATCATTTGTAGTTAAGCTTCCAGTTCAGTTTGCTCTGTAGGAAAGTAAGCAATATTAATTTAAACTGAAATCCAAACTTACTCTTAATGCTACAGGCTTAACATGCTAGTCAATAATTCTTAGGTTAAAGACTGCTGGCAGTCAAGTATTTTGCTCATTAACTACAGACAACTTTAACATTTTACACCAAACAACTTAGTATTTCATATACAGTCGTTTTAAAAACAGCATTTCAAGGCTTAAGAATTATAAATTCAGTCATCCAGTGGTTTTCTGATGCTGAAGAAAGAAGGAAAAAAAAAAGACCGGTTAGTAGTAGACTACAAAAAGGTAGTAGGAATGCTATGAATATTATGCCCTTATTGGAAACCTGTTTAGTGACAATTAATATTTCCTCAAAAATAAATGAATTTAAATACCAATAAGTTACTTTACATACATGTACATCATACTCATTAGTAAATTTTGTTATCCCATACATCCAGTCTTTTCTATACCCAAATGAAAGTGATTGACAAAACAACTTTCTTTCTTTGAAATTCTGGATGATGCCATCAGAAAACGTGAAATCATATCGAAAATTAAGTGTGATGGGATATCCCTCAGCCAAAGTTTATAAACCTCAACTTTAAAATTTTTAATAAGGAATAAAGTCTGAGACTTGCCATATGATGAATGTCAAACTGTCACCATACAAGTCAGTTTACAAATCCCATTAGTATAACCAATGAAATTTTTGGCAGGAATAAGTAGTCATCATTAAATATCTTCTATAAAACTCAAGTGTTACAACATAAATACTTTGTAAATGGTAGTATTTTCTTTCAGAAGATACCAAAAGTAGAAAGTTCTCACCAGTTTTATTTCAACCTCTTTATGACATTATGCAACAAACAAGATGTGCTTTCTCATAAATTACTCAGGTAATATATAAATCACTTATTTTTTTCCTATGTTGTTTTAAAATAGAATCCATCATTGACATATATTTTTCTTATTCTGGTGAGCTTTCCATGTAAGACACATGAATGTAAAATAATAATAAGAACAAAAAATGTACCTTATTTAACTTTTTATTTCACCCAAAAGCAGGTATACAGCAAATAATGTTTCATATTATAAACAAGGCTTCATGTTATAAACAATGCTGTTTTCAGTAATTCGAGGTAGTGCAAAAGAATGAAAAACAAATTAAAAATGTATTTCATATCATACAGTCATTGCCAGTATTAGTAGCACACATGAAGTTTAATATTGAAACATACATTGATAATAAAATTAAAGCAATCAGTTTATCATTTTGGAAAGTTTTCTAGAAAGACAAGCTTATTCCAAAAATGCTTTTGGTAACTACCAATGCAATGTAGGATTCTTAATGTTAAGTAAATACACTCAGTTTATCTTTACAAAATACGGAACCATTCAACATGAATACAGTCTGCTTTACACAAGTTTCAACTGATCTAAATATTCCTCTACACAGTCTATTTACTATACCACATGTACAAGTTTAACAATACCAGAACAACCAACTCTGAATATACATACATATTTTAAGAAATTACAGCATAACAATATACTTGAATGATACTGCAAATGTTGATCATCAACTTTTAAAATACAAAGACTTGTAGCATTACATTATGCTTCACGTGTTTTTCACTACAAGACTGAAGCTAAGCCACTTACAAACAAAATAACTTCCCTAATTATTTACAAAAAATCTAACATGTAATTCCTACAAGTTATTTCTTACCGCTTGTGGAAATTTTCACCAGTATGTCTGATTAGAGCATCTGCTTGTTTCAAAAGGAATTAAATTCAATCATGTATCTTATGTGTCAGTTTCTTTTAGATGCCATAACACATCTGATTGTAGAACAGCTTGCACTAGGTGTTTGACTTTTTTTTCTTTAATATTGGTTTATAAAATTGTATTTCATTATGGCTATGATGAACAAATTTAAAATTTAAGTTAGTTTTATCTGTTTCACACTATAAAGCTAAAGCTGAAGTATTTTGTTTCATTTCAAAAAACAGACTTCATGTACATTTTCATTAAAAATAAATACATGAAAATATTTTGGAAAATTATTCAAAATCACGTTTAAACGTGCGAGTCCACAGATAACAAGTCAGGTCCAGGACGGTTTGGTGTTTTGTCTCCTCATATTTTATGACTAAAGATAATCAGAGTTGGTAAAATCATGGACAAGTAAACAGTTCTGTTAGTGGATAACTAATCCAACTCACTGTGTTACAAAATGTAATAGAAGTTTAAGTTTCAATAAAATTGGAATTTTCCTTTTTTATGTATTAATCTGGACTTTATACACAAAGAGTTTGAAAATTCTGTCTAAACACCTAACAAGTAATGTGGCTTGTACAGATTTAAACAAAGTGTCAAGTTCACTTACTTCAGGAAGGACTTACTTTATTTTACATATCATATAAATTACTCAAATTTGTGCTGAAAATTTAAGGTGAATTTAATACACTGATTAATTACAAAAATCTAAATTTTACCTAATTATGATAGAAGTTTTGGAAAGTGTTATAAATGCTATAAATGGTGTTGCTTTAGATTTATGACTGGACTTTTTTTCTTTGCCTATGATTTGTTTGTAAGCTGTACTACTTTTCTTCAGATTGCCAGTTCTTGAAGTTATAAAGAGAATGAACAGTTTCATGTAAAGCTTAGAAGATTAAGTCAAATTGCAAAGATCTTTGAAAGGATATGAAACTAAAAGGAACTGTTTATGGATATATACTTGAATCTTTGGAATTTGGATTGGTAGTTTCAATCTGAACAACAGCTTATGTAGGATAAACAATCAGGTTAAAGGTTCCTATGATTCAGGGTTAGTTGTCTATAATTTTGAGCTACTGAGTGAAGGTGGCCAGCAAGCAGCATCCACCACTACAAGGGCTTTGTCCAGCCTTTCAAATCAAATAATGGGATTAACTGTTACTTTCATAGTGCAGCCATAGTCAAGTGTATGTTCAGCACTATGATGTCCTGAACCCTTTCAATTCACAGCCAGACATGCTAACCACTAGACCATGCCCAGCCCTTAAATCTTTAAAGCTGATGCTTTACAGTTGGGCTTAAACTTAGATGTTTGACAAGAACTTGAAATGTAGATTCAATGCATTCATTAAAGTCAAGTGTTTAATAGGAGTAAGTAAGTAAAAATTACTCACCTGATTCTATTAGACCAACCAAAACTATGAAAAAAATGAAACATTCAAAGGTTACTCAAACAACTCAGGTTTAACATAAAAAAAAAGTCTCAAGCAATAAATTTAAATTCAAAAATAAACTGGAATATTCCCCCAAAACTCTTTGCTTACCCCCCAACTAACCATTTTCTACTGTAGTTTCATTTTGCAAGTGCAATATAAATGCATTTAACTTTTACTGACTACTAAAATTAGTATATAAAGAAAATGGATATAAATTTTGTGGGATGCCATTTGTCAGGCTGTCAAAAGTAAAGTAAAGTGCAAAGTGGACTACAATTGTTATTAATGATGGATACTATCAAACATACCATTTTGCCTGGATATAAGTTGGCTCATAAATTCCATGACAGAAATATGCAGAAGATTAATGTTTCAACTAATGTTACGTGACATGAAACACAGTAGAAGCCAATCTGTTCACTGATCACTGTACATTCTTGTGTTCCACAATGTTTCTGTTGCAGTTACTAATCCAACACATCTTTGGTACATCGGTGAATGTACATATATGCTATTCTTTAATAAACATAAAACATCATGTATTTTCTGAAACTGTACAGTATTTGAATAGTAACAAAAATAAAAGCTTTAGATACAGCACCATGGGAAAAAATTATGGTCATACAAAAGCTGACTTATGGAAGTAATATCAAAACAGAATGTGTTTCAATTGTAATCTTTTATATAGAATGATTCAATTATTAAAGCTTAAATATACTAAAAGTCATAAACACTGCTAGCTTTCAGATTTCACATACAGTATTTCAACATATGCTCCAAACCTTCTTTCAAAACACAAGAACACACTGGACTGTAATGTTATCCAGAAATGTCCTAGCTTGAACTGAAACGCCAGTTACCAGGGTCAACGTGTAAATTATGAAAAATATACATAGACATACATTGGACGGGAACACAGATAAAACTTAGAAATTACTTCCATCCTTTCTATACAATGACCATAAAATAAAAAAGAAAACTGCTATTAGAAAGAGTAAATAGGCTAAACTACATCTAAATTTGGCTATTTAGCTCAGCCTGGTACCAACCTTAAGTTAGAAGTATAAGTAATTTTAAAAAGTCACAGACAATAACAATGTCAACTAGACTCTACAAATAGTGGTTTTTTCTTTAGGATTAAAGTAAACAATTGCCGAATCAACAAAACTAATTAGTGTTTACAATTTTATTAATTTCACCTTGATCAACTTTAACAAGGCAATTCTTATAGAGAATAATAAATATTGTATAAGATCACTTCTTACATTAGATAATAATCAAAACTAAAATATTTGTCCAAAATACAGAATTTTGAAAATGTCTGCTAGGATAGAACATAAAGCGGCGAGTGAAAGTGGTATAGATGACCCCAAAGTCCTCTACTGATGAATGTTTACATCTTCTACTCAGCAATATTATGTTAGCTTTGGAACCATACATAAATGCAAGTGATACATTTGGTTTCAATTATATTCTTTACACAAAGGGAAAAAAAATTTTCTTACCAAGGTAAAAGATTATCCTAAAGTATCACCATAGAACTACAAGAAAGTTATATATTTATTCAAGCACAATACTGAAATACCTACTCCTGGCCAAAAGCTAATGTACCAAAGAAACACTCATTATTCAAAACTCTCTTGTACTGGCAAGGAGTCATTTTTTCAGAAGATGACATCCTTTTTTTTTTACTTCTGTGTATGCACATAAGCAAATTTCTTAATGTAATCCCCTAGTATCACAATATGTACAAAATCTTCGTTGCTCAACAGGTGTCACGAGCTGCTCACACATTTCTTAAGAAGAGTACTAAACTATGAAGCTACCCATTTTAATTATTAGGTATGGATTAACACAACTGCAAAGCTTAACACGTTTCTGGTTCTTCCACACTGAGAAACTGTTAACTTGCCTTTTTAATAGAACTATTAGCTACAAACACTTTGTTTTAGGAAGTTTCAATGTATGGAATCATTTTAATAACATTTTACTTTGGTTTGCATAACTGTTCTGTGCATAGACAGCACTGGATTTGTCAGTTTTTTCCAGTGTATATACATATACTGATAAATCATTTAAGCTGTTGAGTTTGTCTCATCACTTGTATGTTTTAAATTGTTGATGTCAATCTGTGATTAAATTATGAATACAAAATCACCTAAAAAATGGAAAGACTTCAACTGTCATGCATTTTATGCACAAGTATACCACTTAAGACTTTAGAGAACTTTTTTTTTTCACATAATTACAAAGAATAACCAAAAAGATTGAAGGAAAGCATGACACAGATACATTTACTAGCACAGTGAAAAGCCAACAACGTGGATGAAGTATCATCAACATCAGCCTGCATGGTTGACATAACACATTTATGCAGCACATTCATTACTAGGACCTCATATCAAAATGTAGTGACCAGAAACTACAGGTCCTATTGTGCTGAAGAATATAACCCATATTGGTATTGTTGCTGTTTGTCTTTCAAAAACAAAAATGCTTTCAGCACAGTAAGAAGCATTATTATCAGAGTGTGGTAGGCCGTACCATAGATTCTATTCTTTTGAAAAAAAATCAAAGATTTTGTTGTATCCCAGCAAATTCTACTGAAAGCACCTCAATAGACACATTCTTCTGATCATGTATCACAAACTCCTCAGATAATATCGCTATATTTTCCTGGCCAAAGCAATAGACACCAATATGGAATGTTACACTGTACATCACTGAATCCCACTACAAATAAATTTTCTTCACTTTCTGAGCTGGTTTATTGTCTGCTGAGCTATTGGCATTTTTACCATTCCCATTTCTTGGTGGAACGTTGAGGACCAAATTGATGGGTTTATTATTGGTCCCAGGAGAGAGAAAACCTTCTCCATGGTTCAAATGTGTGGTTTCTTGACACAAAGGTCCACTTCTGTGATGCTGTTCCAAGTAGTGTCCATCATCATACGGGGAATCCACATCATCATTCCTACATCGTCGACTGAATATGTACCCACTGATGAATCCTACAACCAGTGACGTAACAATACTAGTCGTCACAGCAATGGCTAAGGTTTCTGCACTGTACATACCCACATATCCAGTGGCAGCTCCTGTCATGGCCCCTAGAAAACAATACCATAAAATACTTTAGAATTGAATTATTTACCCAACTAAAGAAAACTTAGTACATTATCACCAAAAACTTGCATATTCAAGTCTGTGTAGGATTTTAATACCAGGAACACCAAACAATGAAAAGCAAATATCTGTGATGCTCTGTAACTCTTTTAAAAATTTCAGCACTTAAAAGCTTGTAGCTAATTTTATTTATTTATCTGATGAAGTATAGAACTGTTGTACTTATATTTCAGTAATTATTAGTACATTGCCAAGTAAGCAGAGCCAGTTGTAGACATTTGGTAGTCCCAGGCAAACTTATTTTTGGCAACCCTGTATAACAGTATTTAAGTACTTTGCATTACGAGGAATAAATAATAACTCAGTGAAAATTTATACATATAAAAAAAAGCATTAATTGAATGAAATGTTTTATTTTAATACAAAAGGCATTTCACTTTAATTTAAAATGATGTTTTAAGATTTGACACGTGCTATGAAATGAAAACCATCTGGTGTAGCAAAAACAGTACATTTGAGTGATAACAATGAGTGGTAATAACTCAAAATTACAAAACTGACCAATTCATTGGTTTGTGATATATTAGATTTTAAGTTTTATAGGTCTGTTAATCTTTGTATTCACACTTTTACCTCAAAAAATAATTTTAGAATTCTATTTATTCTTCTTAATTTACAAATTTATTTTAGAAATTTAGCAACCCCTAAAATTGGCAGCCCCAAGTGGCCATTTGGTTCACCTGCTGTTAGGACTGGCTATGCAGGAAAAGTGTGAAGTATAAAACAAAACTGATGAGGCTCAAAAAGTCCACTCTAGCATCCCAACTGGTATTTTAAATACTTTGTTTTTTTAAGAATGTAATAAATCAAAACATTAAATAACTTAGTTTTTTTTAGATGGCTGTTTATTTATATATTGTCAATTTTCTGTAAATAAAAAATACTAATATACTAATTAAGTTATGTTTTTCAATCAAGTATTCATGTTACATAAAGAACCGATACCTTTCTTATTCCTATGAATTTTAAGCCTAAACTATTCTGATATATATGTAATTAAGCTGAATTTGGCAATATACTCATTTATTAAAGATTATGTGACAATATACCACATTATTGTTTAAATTGTATTTAAAAAAAGAATATCATGATATATATATATATATATATACAAGTTTTAATACCAAGTAAGAACTATGAGTAAATTAACCGGTATCAATCCTTTGAAATTCATATGAGCAAGTAATGCTAGTGCTAGTATTCAGGTATCACAATTAAACTTTTCCTCATAATTTTAAAAATCAATTTCAATGCAAGATTTACCACTTGCAAAGCAATTTTTAAATTATAAACACATCCTGCTTCCATTCACTAAGTTCAGCTTTTTTTTAGTCAAGAACTCTCAGCAAAAGAAAAAAAAATCACCATAAAAATTTATTTCCTAAAAATAGTTGTTCAACATGTGCTTACTCTTCTTTTGAAACAATTTTTAAGATCACAGAATGTTCCAACTTCTTTAGCATGTTGCAGCTGTGTTTTTGTTCTTAAACATAATAGCTAAGTACCAGTTGGTTAATGAGTACTATAACACGTAGTCAGAGTGGGAACTAAATATTTTGCTGCCCTAGGGAAGGGCTGAAAGTATATGCAACACTGATTTTGGTGCAATTTATTTATTTTTGACAAATACTTGAAAGCTGAAATTTACGTAATGGAGGTTTAAACATGTCAGCTCTCACTACCTGGAATTTAGAAAAAAAAGAAGAAGCTTCTTTACCAGTTTTGAGTTGTTATTATTCTCCTAAGGTTTTGGATTTTTGCACATCCTTTGTCAAAAATATTCTTTGTAGGAAAAAGAAAATTTAGTGATGAATTATTATTCTCAAATGAAAGGTATAAGTCGTAGTTTTCATGTTAAATTTGCACAACTGTGCACTTACACACACATCAAGAAATGTTAAGGAATAGCAGGGTTTTAAAACACCTGGGTGTATTACAAGTGAGGATATATAATTTACATGTATTAGGAAGTATGAACAATACATACACACAAAAACTTGAGGCAGATACACAAGTTGGAAAAAAGGTATGAGGAGGATATATAATATGTAGAATAATACATGGTGGTCCAGTAATATAAAAATAGTTACCAAAAATACACTAAGGGAATGTTTCTACCTCAAGTTGTTAATCATGCTCAACAATGATTATTCACCTTCTCAGTGAGACAACTGATCAAGTTCTGTAGAATTAAGGACCATGCTTCACATAGAGCTACTGCTAGCTAGAAAAGGGATAGAAGTGGGTGATTTTAATCTGCTTCATGTCTCCCCAACGTGTTCAATCAGATTAATGTCTGCATGAAATGATGGGCACTCTAATCTTTTGATTCCATTGGACAAAAGATGTTCATCCACAATCCTGGATCTATACAGTTTGGCATTGTCACCCATTAGGATGAAAAGATAGCTAATAGCACCAGTATACAGGTACAAATATAATGTTCAAGGGTGTCGTCCCTATATCTGAGAGCATTCATAGAGCCACTCAGTTAGATAGAGATCTGTGCAGCCATTCATAGAGATGTATGCCTAGACCAATATTCCACCACCTTCAAAGGTTCTCCTTTCCCAAGTGCAGCACTCTAAAAACTATTCATTACACGTTCTCCAATCCTAACATGTTGGGAATCACTTTCCAAGCTCTGTGTCAATTCAGCTGTGAATGGAACATTGGAGTATTCCTGACACATCTTCTCCTCTCCGCATTATGAAACTGGCTTAATGTAAAACAAAATATAGGTCTTTGAGAACAGAACCAGATCCTATGAAGTCCATCCCTAACAATTTGAGTAGATATTTAAACACCAGAAGCTAAATACAGTGATTTGGAAATAGTTGGTGCTGTTATCCTCCTACCTTTACTGGCCAATAGAGATTTGTAGCAGTTTTGGGTCACTGTTGTGATTGAAGTGTGACCTATCCTAGGTCTTGCAGAAACAGTTCCAATGTCTAGAAACTGTCTCCACATCTGATTCACAACACTAGGTACCACTCCAAGCCAGGATGCTAGTCCTCTCTGATTCTGTCCTGTTTCTAGTCTCCCAACTGCTCTTCAGATTAGACTGTCCTCTAAATGTGATCCAGTGCCCATATATACATTGCAAAAAATACTATTCAATTGGTTCAACTGCATGAAAGTTCCGCTTAAACTGTCAGAAGGTCAAAAGAAACAATTTGGACGTTTCCTGCTTATATATCTGTATGAGATACTTGCATATTTCTCCAAGGATTATTTCTTCACGTAATATGGAAATATAATTTCAACATAATTCAACCACAACCTCTCGTTTTCCCTTTTTAGGAAATCAGAGGTGTTTCTTAACTTTGTGTAATAATTATATCCCATGGAAACAAACAAAGAATGTTTTATTTTGAATGTTACTCACGCCAATTACTGCTCACTGAACACTCCATTGTTTTATGCTTTTTCCCGATTGCTCCATTTTATAAACACCCACCCCACTCAAAATACATATAATAACATTTGATAAAATACAATAAATTTATCATCAAAGAATGCAACTGACTGAAACTCCCTCTAAGTTAAATATTAATTATATAGTATTATAAAAACGTAATGACAACAGTAAGGAAATTAAAATATTATAAAAATGGACATTTATTTGTTAATATACTTATTCTATACTACTTTCACACATAAACAGTTGCAACACACAAGACGAAATAACAAGTTGTTTACAATGCACCTTAAGATATTTATTAATTACAAATGAAATAAACAAGGCAGTATTTTGAATCATCTTGATAATATTGAGATTAGAATAATTTAGATACCTTAAGAAACATACCTACATCATATATTATTTGATCTATATTTCATTACCATTTGAAAGAATGATTAACAAAAAGAATAATAAACAAAGCTAGGTCAAGTTAAGTCATCCTTCTCTCTCAGTCTCATATAATTTTTCCCAATATATTCACTTTCATTCTTTCTCGCTCTTACGACCTTACTCAGTTGCATTTTTTTTTCTTCTTTTCCTTGTTGCCCAAGGCAAATGCCTACTTTGCCTACCCACTAAAGCTGGCTCTTGTCATAGTATTTAAATAGAAGTTAACAATAGATATGCGAAACTGTATTACAGTGATTTCTCCCACATAAAAACTAAAACTTCACATATATTTGTATATGAAACTACCTTTTTTTTTCTAAATTGTAGTTACTAAAGTTACTTGCTGATATTTCCTATGTGATACTGAAGACTGGACAAAAAGTTTTTGGAAATTTCTCATAATACAACTTACTGTGCATACAATTACTGTTAGTAACTGACAGTGTGATCATTTTGCACTTTATTTCACTTTCCTCTATTTCTCACATATCTTAGTTTAGATGGTTAATATTAGACAAAACATCACATTATAAACGTAGTCCATATAACAGAATGAGGGGAATGTCAACACTTGGAAAGTTCAATGCTTAAAGTGAATAGAATATTTCACAAAATTACCAACACACTTGAATTCACATTATATTAGTGAATATTTATCAAGTATTTAAAAACCAAATAGTTTGGCTATAGCCTTATTACATATCCAAAATATGTATTAAAATTATTCATATTAAATAAATATTGCACACAAGTGATCATAGCATGAAAGTAAATTTTTAATAAAATACATACACATCATTCATATTTTATTATTTCCAAACTGAATAGTCTTAGCCCTCTTTTCTCTTACAATGACTGTATTCATTCTGAAAGTCAGTTGACTTTACTGGTCTTCATATTAAATAATTTATGTTTGTATTATTTTGTGATTCAGAACATAAATCTAATGCAAAAAACCGATTTTGACAGCATTTTCTATTGCCAACCCAGATAAATCATAACTTATTGTAAGTTCTTACACTCAAGATGTGCTGATTACCAATCATTATCATGCATCATAAGTCACAAGAAGAATTTCAGAATAAACAGATAGTTATGTAGCTAAATGCTATCCTCTAAGCAAAACTGAATAATTAAAGTGATAATGCCATCATACTAAAAGCATGACAACAACACTCTATAAAAAATGTTTGTTAAGAAAAAGAGCAATTAAATATATATGTCACATGTATCTTTAATATTATTTCTTCACCCCACAGTCCACATGCCATAAATTTTGTTCTGAACTTTCATGTTATCCTGATATATCAACACAGGCATAAGTCTAAATTAACAATGACTTCTGTGATCAGCCTATATGATTAATGAACAGCAAAGCTATTATAGAATTATAGTTTGTATTATAGAAGAAGTGTGGACAATAAGTCCAATAGTTATTAACAAGTAGCACTGTCAAACTTTAACATGCCATCAGACTACACTGTTAATAATAATAAGCTCCACTCCTCAAATGGTGGCCCCAGCAGCACAAAGTACACCATCAATTTAAATAATAACCTTGAAATTGAAATAATCAAAAATTAAGAAAATCAGAATTGAACAATTGGCTAATACACAAACATTCTCTTTTAAAGTTGAACAACAAAGAATTAGCTCTTTAAGCAAAAAAGTTCAGGAACAGAACAAAAAAAAAGGGAATGGAAAACAAAGGATGGAAAGAGAAGAAACAAAGTAATTTGCAGAAGACTTTCAAAAGTTATCTTCAAGTCCAGCTAAGGCATTTTCAAGCTTAAATCAATATGGTTGAGAGCAAGAAAAGCAATCAAATTATTAATACAACTACATAAAAAAACAAAATAAGTGGGCAGTTCCAGCACAGTCTTAAAATTACATATACAATTTTTCTTTTTAAGTTTGTATTTCTTGATTTCAATAATACTCAATAGGCAATGATGCTATTTAGTCTACAGGTAGAAAGTGACTGATCACTTACTGACTGGTTTTAATCTTTCACAACTACAGTATGAGATTTAAAATTTGTACATGACAGATGGTCAAGTGAATTGAATATACAAATGCATGAATTGCAGTTTATGGTAAAAAAAAAAATACTGTAAATGTTGTACACAAACAGGGAAACTTAAGACTTCAATTTAGCAATGAGGCTAGATGTTTTATATGTGCTAATTATACAAAACTTCAAAAGTGTGACAGGGTTACAAATATTTTTTCTTTTCTTTGAGAAATAATATATTACAGCGTATCTATTCCTACTACTTATGTCTGTTTTAATTCCATAAACACATTCTAATAAAACTACTCAGAAAAGAGATAACTTTAAAGAATTTCTTGACAAAATATTTTCTAAACAGTGGTAAATGATCATTTTAGCTATAACCATTTAACAGATATAACAAAGCACGTGGACCAGGAGGAACAATGTATAAAACTTCTGTAAATGCATCTACACTTTTTAAAATAAATAAATACAATCTCAAACAAACTTTACAGTACAGCTAATAATGCTGCACACAATTTTGTCTTGTGGCAGTTTTTGCTTTAAAGCTAAATAAAATAAAATGCAATTGCATCTATATATATTTTATCAGAGATTACAACACAAAATCATAAATATATGTGAAATTATTAATAATTGAAAAATAAATAAAAATAAATTTTAATATCTATTAGACAAGTACATAATAGACAGCTACAAAATTTCTGACATCTAAAAAATTAAATTAAAAAATCACGTTGATTTTCAAATTATGTAGCACAAAAGGAAATATATCGCAAATGAAAATAACACAAACTACTGTTTGTATCAAAAACTACATACAATAACAGCATAAATTAAACAATTAATATTGATTTGTTATTGGTCACAAGTAACAATGTTTACAATTTTAATCACAGCATACAGTGGTTCTTCCACATTAATATGTTGTATATTATCGGATACAGCTGTAATCCTGTAATAAATGTTTCAACTCTTTTGGCACACACACCAAAATATTTCTTCTCAGGTATAACTGATTATTCATATTAATTTCAACAGTTTCTCTTAATTGGAAACATTATGTGAATATTTTCTGTTGTAAATACTTTACATAAGTAATTTTAATAACTATTTACAAGTATTCTGTACGTACATATTACTGAAGTAAGGATGTAAATCGACTAATAAGGTAAGGACAATCGTTCTAAGGGGGTGATTGAATTCCAAACATACTGAAGACCACATTGATCAATTATGGATTTTTCTATTTGTTTAATAAAAAAAGTAAAATTTTAAATGTTGATGTCAATATAATTCTATGGGGCAAGCGTTTTTGGTTTACCCTGTAAGTTTGTTACCTACACTATAACTCTTAACCTTTATATTCATATTTCTTTAATAACAGATAACTAAAGTATAACTTATTTTTATATCAATATATCACACACCAAGTAACTTCATAATTCACTGCACAACAGCATACAAGATGTTCAGGCTTCTTTAAAGAATACATTAAATCTAAACCACTAATGAAACTTCTGTAAAATGTCTGAAGTACTAACAATTTAGAAAAAATGCTCAACAGCAAAATAATAAACATTTCCATGAAATTCTATTACAAATTCTAAAACTTGTATGATTTCATTTAACTTTTCAGTAGTAAATATATAAAGAATTATCTCGCAGTTATTATGTATCAAGACAATTGTTCTCATTTCTACCTGTTTAATACTGCTACAGATTTGAGATTTTTTAAGCTGCATTTTCACCACTAAATGTCCACTAAAGCTGAAACTAACTGCAGTTTAAACTTGATAAAGGAAACCCACTTTATAGAAAATAAAAGTTTGGAGATGGCTTGTCAGGGTAATGAAGAAAACTTTATTATAAATGTATGACGTTTTGACAAGATTATGACATCCTCAAATACTTGAGGATGACATAATCTTGTCGAAACGCCATCCATTTATGATAGTTTTCTTCATTACCCAGACTAGCCATCGCCAAATATTTATTAACTGCAGTTTAATATATGTTATACTTAAATTTGTAGCTCATGATGTTTAAGAGAAACACGCATGTATTTTCTAGTGAACACACATCTTCTATTTTCAGGAAAAACTTATTACTCACTGTCAGCAAAACTAAAGACTTTTTGTCATTAACAAATTTTATTGCTCTCCCCAACCTTTTTCACTAACACACTGATCCTAAAGAGTAAATTTTTGGATAACCTTGTAATGAACAATTAACTTGATGCTTATAATGCTTTTAATCATGGTTAGATACCATGTTTTACTGTGAATATGTAAAAGAAGTCTTTAAACTTATATGCTTGAAATATAATATATTTGCATGAATGTTTACTGAATTAACTATTCTTCAACCTTAATAGTTTGTCTTATGTCATTTCTGGTAAAAAATAATAATAATAACAATAATAAACAAAAAATTGTATTCAAGATATGACCATTTGGGTAAAAACTATTTTACTAAAGAAAGAATGGAAATGAATGATGCATGTAATTAAAAAGCTGAATAGTGGCATACTGATTGTCACCACAGTTAAGATTATTTTTTTACTTACACAAATCAATAATTTCTCTGTTTTCCAAAGTTAGATACAAGTCAGAACTTAGTGTTAATAAGGAATCTAAGCTTTAAAAAATTAATTAAAAGAAACAATGTATTGTAAATAAATCCTTGTGAATTTATATATATATATGTATGTATGTATGTATGTATGTATGTATATCAGCAAAAGATTATTCTAAAACAGAACTTTGAATTAAGGACTAAACCTATTTCAATCAATATTATCTTATTTTGTAGTTCATTATATGTAAATGTCTTTTGGAAAGTGTGTATATTATACTGAAAACAAACTCCCTATGGAAAACAATTTCAGCTCAAAAATAGTTACAGAATCCTTTACAAATGTTTCAAAACAGAAATATGGTGAACATATTAATGTTTAGTATACAAGTTGCCAATACATAATTAATATACTATCTAAGTTCAAATAGCAAATAGAACAAAAATGTGAAAAACAAGAAAACGTAAGAAATCTGAATACATATACAGCAGATGTACTATTCGACATGTATAAGATTACTACAACATAGAACATCTCTTCAAATGAATAGCACAGACATATTTTTTCCTAATATTTACAGAAGGAACCAGATTAATGTGTTGTTAGTGGTCAGATACACAAAAAAAAAGTCTGAGCATATGGTAAAAATACCTTATAATGAAAATGATTGGGAATTTGTGTAGATACAGATGCTCACACAAAGCAGAACTAAATACACTACATTACAGAGTTACTTCAAAAAGAACAAAAGTAACTTCCTTTGTTTAAAGAGCTTATTTTCAGTAATTTGCATACTTAAATATATTTACCAAAATTTATGAAGCTAACATTAAGTTGAAAAGTATAAATTGTTGTTAGAAGACATTCTGTCACAAAGAATAACTTCAACAATATCAACATAAAACAGGCTACTTTTACTGAAGTCTTTGGGCATACTTGTAAAATAGGTTTTACATGGTCTTTTCTGTTTATCATTTAAATATTCTGCCTATTTTACTTGTACAGTTTATGAATAGCAGCAGCAGTAACATGTCTGACACAAAAATCATATATGCTATTTGAAGAAAGCAAAGTAAATAAAAAGACACACATTCTAAGTTAGTGGGCCACTGATATTGAGGAACGGGGCTTACCATTATCACGAGGTTTGCTATCTACAGTAGACACAGTATCTCCCTCCTTGTCTCCACCATGCCTACTAGCTTGGTGATGTGGATACAAACCTCCAGAAGAACCCTCAGAATTAGGAGGTTGGCCTAATAAAGATGTTAACAAAAAATAAATAAAAATCCCAGATGAAATTCTATGCAGAACGAACTATCATTCAAGTGGTTTTATGTACAACCCTGAATTTTAGAAATTATGATATACACCCAATTTAATAAAACACAAAAGTATTTTTCAAAACTTTTAAGGAGCGTACTAAAATTATAGAAAAGAAAATATAGTTATCTACTAATCCTTACTAACTGAACTTCTCCAATACAATGGATTATCATGTGAACATTTACCTGTACACAATAATTTATATTTGACGTTTCATTCAAAATGATAAGTATTAATGTAATAGATTTTTTACAGAACAGCTAAAAACACAAATGCAAACATATTGTTCAGCTTATAGTCATGATTCAAACCAGTTATATTTGTGAGATCAAGGAAGATATATTGTGATGATTATCATATGAACTCTTGAAAAAAAATTAGTTTTGCTAAATGTCATTTAATTTATTGCCACTAATTATAGAATAGTTTTGAGCATGCTCTAATGATAAAAAGCTTTAAATATACAAATGTATGCTAATTTATGTGAGGATAATAGATAACGGTCTCACAAATAGCACAGACTTTTCCTTGCCAAGTTATGAAAAATAATCCAATTTGTATACACACACACACAATAAATAGACTCAAAAACATCCAGGTCATACACATCTCTAAATTTAAATATCACAATAAAAAATCGAAAATTTGTTCTAATTCCAGTGTTCATGTACTTAGACAAATACAAAGTTAAAAACTGATCAAGGATGATCTAACTACATTTCAGGACAAAAAACTGTTTTTATAACCATATACTGTTTTGACAGGAGTATCCAAACACTCAGTTCCTAAGTATGCTCTTCAAGGGCACTCAGTGGATGCAAATTCACACACATATGCAGCTTAGTAGAGGTGAAGAAAATGTGAGGTGCCAGAATATTGTGAATTAAATTTGTTTGAGAGAAGAGAGATTATAGGCTGCTAGAAATGTAGGAAAATCATATTTGAAATAGTCCCAGTGCTTGATCAAATGTAATCTACTATGTATATGGACCACTCAATGATAACAGAAAGTTGGTAGTTTCTCATTTAACAACTGTTTAAGTCAGCCAAAACATGAAAGATGACAAACATCACTTGTTAGAATTACAAATAAATGCTTAATGTAATTTTCATAAATGAAAATCACAGTGACTGTATTCAAAGGGCCAAATTGTGGGCTTAAAAGAAGTCAGATAGGTAAATATTTCAAGAGCAATTATGTTTGAGCACAATGTGAAGGGTTGCAGATGGGTTATGATGTTGACTGTAGTGTTTGTATCATGCATGCGACTTATCTATGAAATGTTTGTGTCTCCAAATGCCCATGGATATCAAATATTTTATATGCTCATGGCACCATAAAGAAGCTTTTTGGTAAGTAGACCACTACGTTGTTCCACGAAGATAATGCCCTCTGTAACAAGACACATAAAACTCGTGTCGGTTCCAAAGTGACAACATCAATGTATGGTAAAGACCTGCCCTAATATCTTCAATACAGGAGATCATCTTTGGGAGAAGGTAAAAGGGTTAATATCCAGTCATCATCAACTGTTAATATTTGTGAACAACAACAGAGACAAATTACAATAAATACCTGACAAAATCTACATGAGAGAGAATGTCTTATAGAATAGAAGCATTTATTAATATCAAGGTTGATATTTTAGTGTATTAAGACAGTATTATCGCTGAGCATTCCCCTTTTTGACAACATAACGGGACACTTCATACAGGAGGGTAATGTATATAAATAATCACATACATATATATACAAATACATTAAATATCAATTTCTAAGTGACTTCACTTTAAACAACTACAAAACCATTTGGAATTATGAAGTTTTAGAAGCATATTGAAATATACCCGTTCTTATTAATATTATCAAAAAAATTTTGAAATCAATTATTATGTTATCCTATTTTTTTTTTTTCAGATTACATAAACTGTTTATATATTAATTATTTCACTCCATGACAGCAATTTTAAAAAATCATTATATGGTAATTTCGTGTATAATTGTCTGGTCAGTGGTAACACAGAACTTAATAAAAGAAAAATCTTACAGTGTACAAGCAATACTATATAAAATAAAATCACTTCTAGAATTATCATCATTATGATATGCATAATGTAACAATTACAAACAAATTGTAAATAATTACAAAAAGTAATAATAATAAGGTACATCATTATTGACTGTATCATATATTAAAAACTATGAATTTAATACATGTTTTTAAAAGTTTAGTTTCAGAACTATCAGTCAACATTAAGATGAACTGATAAGAAAAACTCAAATATATTAATAACAGCTCAGAATACAAATAATCCTAATACAGTGATAAGTACAAAACATGCTTTGATTAAATTTGAAAAAAGAAAAGTAAGGTTAATAGAAGAAGATGAATGGTTACTTTTAGGACTGCCGACACCACCACCACCACCACCACCAATGCTTGCTTTGTTTCAACCCACATGATACTAAAACAAAATGCACTTATAGTGAATTAACAGATGATTTACAAAATATTTGTGAGTGTGTGTGTGATGTGAACATACTGCAGTGATTTTGGTATTTTTTGTTCTTTTTAATAATTATGTATTGTATGATTTCTGATATGAAAAAAATCAAGTTTTGTATTGCAGAAGTTTAAATTCAGCAATCTGAATAAATAGTTATAAACTATTGTTACTAAGCCATACAGATTAAGTGTAGAGTATACTACTAGTTTTTCAACTAAATGTATCGATGCCTGGTGAATGTATGAAAATATTCAAGTTATCCACAAAGCCATTATCTTAATTTTACAGCTCAGTGATCCATATCATTGTATAACTCATGTGAAACTTTTAATAGTGATTTTCAATATCTGACTAGATATACTAATAAATATGTGTCTTGAAAAAAAATTGTGTGTTTTAGAATCTGTCTTAATCCAATATTGTGCTTTATACTATTAGTACTTTTAATATATATAGGTTTTTAAAACTATGCAAGATAAAATGTGGAAGAAAAAGTAAGGTAATTATTATTAAGACTCCAATATCGAGCAGTCTGCCAAAGAAATTGGAAGAGATGTGTAGTGGAATCTAATATTAAAGTGGTCATATAAATAATTACCGACTAATATCATGAGCTTTGCTAAAATGTTCCATATTTTGTGGCATTATCAGTAATGCTCAAACTAGAATATTTTTATTCTAGTTACTATAAGTAACAGTTTTCAGTAGTTTATAAGCATTTATATTACAATATATGCTAGGATAGTTTTTCTTTCTTTTCAAATTGTAAGGTTTGACAGTATAAGAAGAAATGAAGCAATGTTTAATGATAAATATTTATACAATTTACTCATGATATTATGTGAAAAATATTGGTCTGTAACCTAACTTTCAGAGTAATTATAATTATGGTGTCAGACAGATTAATTGTGAAAAGAAATAAGGCACTGTTACAACGTTTTTGTATCCACAATATTAAAAAGAAAAAAGAAGAAAAATGTTCACTACACTAAATAGGAGATTATGAATCAGTGAAATATTATTCCGGAGGTTTTAGTTAGGGAAGACTGTCAGGAAAAAGACGAGTAACAGTTCATTCCAATAGAAGAATTGTAAGTTGAGAAGAAATGAAACAATAGAACATTATTCTCTCATCTATACAATAACTAATTTTGATACAAGTTTGTAATTGTTTTCTATTTTCCATCTTATAGCAGAGAACATAAACTGACCAAGTTCATGCTCAGTAACATTTCTTGCCCCCTCTGTTGAAGGACAGGCACATTCTAAGGGACAAGGAGGACATGTAGGGGCATTGGTGGTAGTAGAGGTTGTCTCAGTCCCTAACTCTGCTGTTGAGAAAGAAATGAATTAAATATTAAATCATTTAGAAAAGTTAAAGACCAGAAGGGTTAAAATCATAACAAAAACTCAGATTACAAGACTTCATACATTCAACCTTAGTGCAAAAGAATGATAGCAAATATATATACATGATAAAGGTCATTTGCCTATTCTTATCTCTGTCTAGGTTTTAACCTTTATACTACACTACAGCTATAATACTTTAAAGGAACTGGAAACTATAGTGTTTTCTAGAGTGTAATATATCCACCATTATAAGTTCGTATCACATGAACTTAAGATAATGAAAGTGCTTCATGATATCAATAACCCCTAATGTCATTAGGAAGGTTGGTGGCAAGAACACACTTTGTTCAGTTATAATGACATATTTAATAAGTAAATTAAGTTTTTTCCTAGCATAAATGTGTGTGTGTGAAAATAAATAACATTCTATTAAGTTATAGAGAATTTAACACAGAGTGAAGATAATTTTAAACCAATCAGGATTTAATACAATACCTTATAGATTAATGTAAAATAAGCAACTGAGTAAAATGTAATAGCTAATGGTTAAAGATTTGAAAGAAATGTCAGGTAGGCCGATCTCAACAAAAACATAACTAATTGCAAAGTTTACCAAATTAATTTTATTGATATCTGCTCTACAGGAATACTGCCCACCAGTGGCACAGCGATATGTCTGCGGACTTATACCGCTAGAAACCGGGTTTCGATACCCATTGTGGGCAGAGCACAGATAGCCCTTTGTGTAGCTTTGTGCTTAATAATAATAATAAAACAACTACAGGAATACTCAGACACTGTTGGGATACACAGTTTTTTTTTAGCTTGTTTCAAAACCATTATATAATAATTTGACAAATCATTTATGTAAGTGTGAAAAAATCAGCCACATCACAATAAAACTAGATTGTTATTTTTTGTTATGAAAAACAAAAATTGTACTTCAAGTATTATTGCATCAAGTAGTCAGTAAAAGGACAGTTTAGGTTCTACGATAACAGCTCTTTGTCAGATTTTAAAAATAATATTATATACGTATATGGATTCTGATTTTTGCCATTTGTCGAAATAAATGGCATTTACTTATATTTCTTAACAGTATAAATATATACTATGTTGTTGTTTGGCTTAGGATTCTGCTACAGTAGGTGTCTGTGACTTGTTAGTGATAAATTCAATGATGAATAAACAGCACACACTTTACTTGTTTTCAAATTATATATATATATTCAGAACAAGTTAAACGTACGTACAACAAAGTCTTCATACTATAGATTTTACAGGCATATCATAAGCACTATTTATATATAGTTCTCTTCTTCTTGTCAAAAGTCAACATAGGCCTATTCAATTACTTTAGAATTTCAGTTGACTAGTCAAACTATCTTCTTTATATTACTATCGTACTAGTATTCTGTGTGTGATTCACTTACAGTTGTGGTGCAAGTTACCATAATTCGTTTGGTCTTCTTTCTTCTAAAGTCCTCTGTTCCTTTTGTTAAAGTGTACCCAGGCTGATTCAATTACTTTAGAACCATGCTTTGATGGAATAAAATTATCCTTCTTATCTTTTTTTATACTCTTAGTTTCACTCTAATATATTAAACATTAGGCCTATCACCTTTGCGGTACTTAACTTCACACAACTATATTCTCTTTTGCTATTATCCATCTATTGTTATCTCTCTACTGCTTGTCGCTCATCTCATGCTATTTATATCTTTATTACATAGTCGTCTGGCCACTTTCTATATTCTTGACACCAATTAGTTATTAACAAAACCTTCTACAATCATCTGCTTTTAACTCTTATTATAGCAAAACTCAAAAATAATAAAATATTCACTCACGATACAAATCAATCACTAATATCCAAACCAAACAATCTTTTATATCATGATACTCTTGGATAATCAAAAGTAATACATACTGCCCTAAAGAGACATCTGAAATCAAAAATTGATGAATTACAAAATAACATGTTAGGCTTAATATTTGCAGCATTTATTGGTTATTTTAATAACATTTAATTATTCAAAAGGCCCCCTTTTTCATTTTACTTCACATAATTAAAACACTTTAGGGTATAGTGTATGATCATCAATCAGTGACAGGTGAACAAGGTTTTATTCCCAAGGAAACTATTGGTATATCTGAAAATAACAATTGTAGTAATTGTAGTTACAGACTATGAAGATGCATTCCAGACTTCATGTATTATGTAAAAATAAACAACTCATCTTCTCGTATATGAATGACAATTTAAAGGAGACAACAAATGTACAGCACCCAATAGCAAAAGTCTGTTTAGAATGCACCTTAAATCTCCTACAGATAAGTGTTAACTTCATTAATCCGGAAACCTCTAAGTGGTTTCCTTATTACCCTTAGAGATATAAAACCTACAAGTATTCTAGCTAGCAATAAAAAAATTTTCTTTTACTTCTCAATAATTTGAGTTTTCTTTTTAGGTTTTTAAATCTAAGCATTAAGTATGCACAGTATATTTAACCAAACTCAGCTGTTTTTGGATATACAGTTTTTGTAGTAAGTAGAAACCCAATCATACCCTGCACAAAAGTAAAGTTGGTTTCTGTATTTAAATGTAAGATAAATTCACAGAGCAAAATGAAAAACAAGCAATCTACGATAACTAATTCATCAGATACTAGTGAAAAGAAGCCAATCAAATAACTGTTCACAGTGCAATTAATTTCTTTAACAAAACAAATATACTGAGTTTCTATACACTAGTGTATAAATTGTAGTGTAAATTCAGTAGGCAAAAACAGCAATCTTGAACAGTTGATATTTTCAACAATTCTAACAATTCATACCATCACTAGTTCACTTTATTTCACAAACATGCAGATGAAAAAAGTACAAAATAATAAAATTTCAGCAGTCACATATATATGTAACCACTAAACACTTCAACCGAATATTTTGTTAGTATAAGTTTTATAAAATATTATAGCTCATTTGTTCAGCTTATAATAAATCAGAATACTAAGAAATCTGTCATGAGCACCAACCAGGGCTTCAACCTGGGACTCTTGTTTCACACTAGTTTTCTGAAACCAACAGAGGATTCAAGTTCCGAGCAGATAACTTCCATCCTGACTGTTACAACTGGATTAAAACAATACAATTTGTTGATACAAATACTTTTTAATAACATTTAGTTCTGCCATCACAACTATGCTTGTGACCTAACAAAGAAGAAACTCACCATTTTCTCTGGCTACTGACAGAGAAGTAGTAGAGTGTCTATCTAGAAAACAAGTGAGGAATATCACTCATCACTAACAAAGTTTATTTGTTTTCAAGTGCAAGGTATTGTGAAATACAAAATTTAAATGTACTTAAAAGTTCTTTTGGAATAAGTGCTACATATCTGCAACTTAAAATACACTTTTTTCTTTTCAATATATAAAAACTTTGAATAAACTGAAAAAAAAAGCACATTTGAAAACTTAAAGAAGCCACGTTATATATGGTCTTTTAAAAAATAAAATATGGAGAACTTACCCTCAGGACATTTGTCATCCCAGCCATGGGAAATATTTTGAACAAATTTGCCATGAAGCCATCCCCTATAGGGAATTAAAAAACATTTCACCTTTACCAATATTGCATATACAAGACTTTTTAGTGTAAGAGTTATTATTTAGTTCACTTAGTGATCTAATATTTAATGATTATTTAGTTTTCATAACAAGACTGTTAAAAGTAATTATTTTAAGGGTAATAGTTATGACAAATTTCAGTACGTAACTCAGTAAGTCGTACATTGTGTGTAGTTCAACTGTTGTAATTTGACGTCACATTACTCAAACCTTCTGTATTTTTCTTGTTGCCTTAAGTGAGTATTGTTACATTATAGCTTTTTGTTGTTTGTAGAAAATTCTATGCCTCAGATGGGCAATGTATATATATAGGCAATCAAGAGAGTATAAGTTAGAGAAAGTGAAGTTAGACTGTGTGATTGTTAGTTTAACTGTAATGGCTGATATCTTAAAGTGAGTTTTACAGATTAACAGAAATAAGGAGAATAATTTTTCTTGTCAAAGGGTGTTTTAAAGTAATTTAACCCGCTTGTGTGGACTTTAATGAAAAGCAGACAATTATTTAAAGTTCTGAATACAACTGTGGTAATCCGTGGGGTAATGTAAGTGAATTTATCACAGACTATATAGTAAGAAACAAAGTGGAGAAAAAATAATTCATCTTGTCAATTGGATTCTAAAGTAATTGAATCAATCTGTGTAGACTTTTGATGAAAAAGAAGAGAATTATTTATAGTTTTAGATACAACTGTGATATCCTATAGCATAGAGAACTTTTGTACATGTTTAACTTGTTTTGAATATATTATTTTAAAACAAGTGAATTGTGTGCTATCCATTTATTGTTCAAATTTATCGCCAGCAAGTCACAGAGACCTACTGTAAAGAATTCGACCCTATAAAACTGACAACCATATTAAAATTAATTTTGTATATAACAACAAATACATTATTTAAGTTTTTAAATAATTCTATGCTCTTGTTATTTGTTCAGATAACTGTAAGAAAAAGGAAAAAGAAAAATCTTCAAAAAATTACTCTTTTAATGATTAAACCCTATTTCCATAAATTTAGATGACGTAGATTTTAAAATTAGCTATACCACATCTGTGGCAATACTAAGAAAAGATACACATGTTTTTACGCATTATAAACTACTTCCTATTTTAAAAGGAGAATTCAAATATGACTACTACATTCACTTTCATTCTCCACCAAAAATAATGGTACTATATGCAGATATATAAAGAAATCATATATCCTAACACGAATTATAAAATGAATCTGGAAGAAAAGTGTTCTGTACTTCAATTGATTTACTGATTTTATACTAATGTTTAGACTAAAACCTTTCAACATTCAACAGATTTTGATTAAATTGATTTATTTACACAATTTTATATCAAGTATAAAAACTTCTTCAAAGACAAAATAATTTTCTGCTGCAATATTCACAGCAGTGTTATAATTTTTCACTTGGCAAAAAGGGGAAGTAAATTGAAATTTTCTGTAACAAAAAATAGAATTAAAGTTGAAAATATCTTTACATGAATTATGCTACACAGTTTTTTTGTATAATGTTGCATAAAAAAATCTATTAAAAATCCACTTCATATTTTTTTTCTTTGTTTTTATATAATGGATCTACAAATGCTTTTTTTAACTTGCATAGATTGCAGAAATTTTACAGCAAGATTTAAGTATTTGTATGTATCAGAATTATTCACAATTTTTATTTTTGGTAAAGAGAAAACACACAAAGTAATCACAAACTTTTGTAATAACTTTACATGTTGTTTTCAAGGGTAGCTACACTCACCTGGCAGTAGCAGTGCATTTTTAAACTCAAAACTCCACCATAACTTAACATATTTTTATCAGCTGTGCTTGTAATGTTACAAACAAAAACAAATTCTGAAGTATTTGTTACTGACAAGCATACTAAACATTAGCCATTCAATATTAAAGCATTTTTCATGATATATACTGTAAATCAATCATGAAGTGCTCCCCAATTCTGAGGGTTCACAATCACAGTTCTCTATTGTCCTTTATTCTTCACTTCCTGTACAAAAATTCAAGCTTCTCATCACCAATCTATTTCCTAACAGCAATGAATCAAGTGAGTATATCTGCCTCTCACTCTTTTAACTTGGATTTTATTCATCAGAATCTCTGCTAACCTTTCCTCAGATCTAAGTGTATGGCCAAATTAGCACAACCATCATTTCTTACATATGACCAATGGTTGTCTTTTAATTTTTGCATGTTCAAATACGTTTCCATGAGCTTTTCTTTTGGTAAAATTGATCTTCATTATTCATCTATAACAACATAATTCAAATGGTTTTAACTTCACTTTGGTCAATTTGTTTCAGCAGACAGATCTATATTTTCACCCCAGACTTAGTAGTCTCTCGTTCAATTAGAATTTGACATCTCTCCTAAGCAGTTCTTTCAAATTGCAAAATGCTGTTTTTGCTATTGCTGTCCTTCACTTTATCTCTTTCCTAAACATGCTATCACTACTGGTATTCATCTCTAACATAAGTTAACTCCTTTACTTATTCCAACTCTACTTTCTACTACAATATTCACTTAACAGTGTTATGATTTTTCACTTGGTAAAAAGGGGAAGTTGAAAATCTCACAAAAAACCTGAAACAAAAACATCAAAGTATTTCCTCTTTCCCCTGTTCCCAAAATAGCTTAATATTAAAGTTACCAAAACAAATAATCATGTAAAATTAATATCTATTAAAACTTTCACTCAAAGTTGTAAATATATTAGTTAATCTTGTCAATGAAACTAGAATTAAACATCAAATTAAACTGTTGCTTACCTTGGTTCTGCACTGGTACAACGTTGACGATTCTCATCCCAGGCACAATATGGATCTTGTAAGGCTACACATTCACTGAAACAATTACAGTTTATCAACTAGACTGCAACTGACTCAAAACTAATAAATGTCATAATTATTTAATTTGTGACATTATTGAAGCTTTAATTTAACAAAAGAAATAGGTAAATTATAATCATGTTGTTACAAGTTCACAAGCAGATATGACTATAATTGACTAGCAAAACTTCAGTTTCACCAAACGTACTGAGGTTGTGATTGTACAATTCTAACTATTGAAACTTTACTATCATAAATAATGAGCTTATGATTGTATTTTACTAAATGGTACAGGTGCTGTATAAACTTTGAAATTTTAGATTTACAAAATGTTTAGTAGATATTGTACCATAAGAAAATGTGATACAAAAAAAAAGAATGTCCAAATGCAAGTTAAATACATAATTCACAGCAAGTTTCACTTTATTTGCTCTTTTAAAGTTGAATGCTGTACAATAACAATTACTAAAACCTCACAAAAATGTGGAACATTTTACTGATAAAAAATAAATTTCTTTGGTTATTAACAATATTAGAATTAATCTACTCTGTAATATAGAAGTGAATAATTGAAAGGCAGCATTAATATTGAACAATAATCGACAAGATCATACAATTATCCTTGAGGTATTTTTCATGGTGTATTCTTTCAAAAGTAAGCTCAGAATTAGGCACCAAATCATATATAAACTAACCTGCATGTCAGTGCATAGCGTTCACAGTCATGTAGTGGAATGGAATAAATTTCATCTTTAGAAACCACAATTAATTTTAATTGGAAGGCAAAATTGTTCACCAAGAGACTAGTGACAGGGGCCTGGTTCTGGAACACAATCACCTCTTCAATAATAACTGGAACGACCTTGTTATCACTTGAAGCACTAGCAGCATTTATAGCTTTGATCACTTTCCCAGTGTCTGAAATATATTTTCAAAACTAAGTTAAAGATTCTTTTGTGTAGTAATAAATATAAGTTTAAGTAGCAAATTCAAAACAAAGAAACATCACAAAAAAGTACAATTTAAAATCAAATGATTTAGTGTAAATTTTTCTTTGTTTTCCACTATTGTTCAAACACTGAGTCCAATAATAATAATAATAATTAGTTCCCTTATCTTTTACAACACATTTTTTAAGTCAAATGACAACATTTGTCTTATTTTTTTGTAGATCACTATATAACCACATTAATTATAACCAATTATTAATTACACCAAATACTATGTAATATTATACCCTTTATTTCTTAATACTTATCTAAAAATCTTTGTATGACTCAACACTTAAATGTCTTATAAACTCAAATGTAATCCACATAAAGGAATTAGTCATTTCAAACTTCACAGTTGCATATTAGAGCATAACTCTATATAGCAGTTTGTTTAAGTTTTCCACATTACATCACATGGTGGGTAGGTTATAACATATTAAAGCAAACTCTTCCAAATTCTCAATATTTTGCTCTTTCTTACCTGTTCCTATAAAAAGAACATCATATTTGCTGCCATCAACAGTTTCTATCTGAGGATCCACAGTAATACAAGTGTATCGGTACCTATAACCAGAAATAAGGACATTTTTTTCTTTCATATAGTTAAGTATTAGAAAAAAATATCACCAAAACTACTCTATAAGTCACATCAACTAAATTAAATCATACTATAAATGTCAAAGTCTTTGTATGAACTGAAACTATTTCTCCGAGATATCATACCAATAATAAATAGTGCCACATTTACTTGAGATTCACCAGGAGAAAATTGGAATTTAAACAAAAAACATAAGCACTAAATATACGTTTAATCAAACATTTTAGAATCTATAAATTTCATCATCAGTGATCTGTATAAATATATAAATTGAGAATGATACATAAAATATGTAAGAAGTTAATTTTTTCAACCAGATTTTAAACTTTTTCGATGTGGCTTAATATAGAAAAAATGCAAGAGTTTGATTGAAAAATAGTTTCCATCAATAGTTATATCAATGTCAGAATAAATTGCGATGTACACACTTAAGCTATTATACAACTGAGTCAAACCTCTTAAAAAATAAACCTTAGCACTCAACATCAACAAATATGACAATAATTACAAATTTTTATTTGTATGTAAAGTTGTTTTATTTTTGCAGTTTTCAGTTAAGACCAAATACTATTCATTTGTCTTTCACTATAGAGTAAAAATCACTGAGCCTCTTTCTGGAGTTGACTTTTTTTTATCTTACAGATTGAAAGTGCTTTAAGTAAATATTTTATGCTTTATCTTCAATATACAGGGTGAGCAAAAGTTACTATACAGTTGGTACTAAAGAAAATATTATGAAAACAATTGATACCAATTTAATTATAATTTGTTTCTGAGTAATACATTACAAATTAAAAGAAGTTCTAAAAGAAACAACTGTGAAGTCACTTTGGCTCCAGCCTTGTATACATTTTTACAGATTTTGAGAACTGTACTTTCATTTTTAAAGGACTTGAGAGCAATGAAGCATAAACAGCAACTAATGTACGAGTTAATAAACAATAACAAAACAAACTTGCACCCACCTTTAGGGTTACAAGTCATTGAAAGTTAAAAACTCTGTAAGTTCACTGAAAGAATCAATTTATACTCTAACTATAATTTTTCAATGTATTCAGAGCAAATATAGTGTGGTAAAACCATCTATGTGGTTATCATAAAATTAACAATGAAAACATAATATTCATAAAAAGCTTCAAAACGATTAAATAACAGAACATGTATCCAGAACATGCTATTCTCATAATGTCTTTATTCCCTTTCAAGAAAAAGGGTTCTTGCACAAAGCTACACAATGTTTACATATAACTACAGCTACATGATGTGTTTATCTTCTCTGTTAGAGTATTCAAGAATGTCTAACATCAATAGCACTGTAACAAAGAATCTTTAGCACAAACAGCTGACAATGTGTATGTTTATCTAGTAGGTTAGTATATGGACTCTTGAAAGAGAACTAAACTAATGCTTACACTGTTTCTTGATGTACTTATAAAAAAAGATTCCACTTTAGATAGAAATAGAACAAAATGTTCATTAAGAATCACTTGTTATAAAGTTTGCTTATTACTCTATTCTTTGGTGTACAAATAAATGAAGTGATTTTAAATAAGTTTTATTTCTTGCAAATAAAAAAAACAGGGATAAAAGTTATCAGTAGCTTTGCTACTTTTATTTATTGTCCATTTACATGATCAAACATGTGATGTTATAAACCACATATATTTTATCTTGTTAGCCAAAAATCATGTTGCTCTACCTTTACAATGAACATATTTCAGAACCCACATACACGTCTATTCTATTCAAATCTATGGAAGTTTTGAATGGCTGAAGTCAAGTTTTAACTAATTACATTCCTGATCTTGGAGCTTTTAATCCTGACCATCAGTCCATGTATTTTCATTAAACTATAACCTCTACCTACTTAATCAAACTGTTATTTCAGAAGCCTTAATGACTATGTTATCTCACCCAAAGCCTGTGTGAAGTATCAATGGTTGACTCCAATAAGCAGGAACAGCCCTATCCATCAAGGTGTGATCTTTGATGAAATTCAGTGTCATTTCTGGCAAAGTTCTGGAGTCATTCACACACTAAAATTAGTAAAACAATACACCTGGAGTACAAATATTCTTGTACAATTACCAAATGCAAATACATATAAAAAGAACATGCATGAAACTGACTGAAAAAAATTATATTTAAATACATACTTCTATCAATGTCTGTATATATTAAGATACATATATATTTAATTTATTGTTTAATGATTAGATAACTGAGGCAATTCTATTACAAAATTAACCAATACCCTAATGTTTAAAATAGTAAACAAGTTTAATTCTTGAACCCCATTAACAGTTAGCATCAACAAATACAGTGATAATTAGAAATTGTAACTTTTGTGTACAATAACACTAACAACTTCCCATTACTCATATCTGTTTTCATTGAAGAGTAAGAAGAACTCAGCTTCTTTTAGGATTTAATAGACAGTAAAAATAATTCATACGTGTAAAACATTTATCAATTGATGAGATAGGGGGAGCTTAGCAAGAGTCAAAGTTAGCTTAATTAAGCTATGAACATGGTTGTTTGTTTCTTTGAGCTTAATCACAAAGTTACACAATAGGCTGTCTGTATTGTGCTCATCATGAATATCAAACCTCAAATTGTAACATTACAAGTCCCCAAGCTTACTACTGAGTTACTGGAGAGCATTCTGAATGTTGTCAATCTATGTCTTAAAACCATTATCCTTAAGATCTGTAAGGCTAATCTTTATCCTGTTCTCTAATCACAAAAACAATTTCAACAGTATTTGAAACTCTTATAAAATACTATAGAAAAACAATGCTAGAAAGTAAAAAAAATTAATACAAACAAAAATCCAGCTAAAACAGTGTCTCATATCATTGGAGATGGAAGTGAATTAGCATAATGTAAAATATTTTATTTGTTAAAAAAAAAGAGCATTATAAACAACAAAAATAAGATGAACTTTACATCAAGAAATTTAGCAAAAACTAAATGAGACAGAATAACTACTTCATATCAACAGAATTGTTAAAAACAAACAAAATCAAATCACATCAAAACAGATTTTAAAAACAGGAATTCAGAGAAAAATTACAACTGAGGCAAGCAAAAGACTTGTTAAAAATATTAAATGAGAGAAAAATTAAAATACAAAAATTTAACAAACCAAAACAATGAACAGCAGGATAGAAAAGCAAGTTTGGTTACTTTAAATGAAGTTTTAAAAATAGGATAATGTGGATTGTAATGAATATGATGTTAAAATAATGTGTATGTTGCTAATAAAACACATGGGCAAGGCCTATAAATTTATCCAATTTTTCATAATGAAGAGAAATACATCTTACAAATATATAGGGTGAGGAAAAGTTAGTTGTCCCAAATTCACATTATACAGGTTGTAAATTTGGCAATAGCAATACAATATGTAAGACAAGTTAACAAAAGAATAAGCAAAATGAGCCTCTAATTTGTTATATACATAAATATATATATATATATATATAACTAACTAACTTTAGAGGCAACTAAATGTTCCGTAGCTGTGTTTGTACACTTGTGCATATTCATTTTTTAAAAGTATAGCTTTTGTTCCTTTTTACCCAAAATCAAAAATGTGAAACTTGATATTTCAGGCACATTTGAAAGGTAGACCTTTCTTTTTCACTCCTGAAGAATAAAAGTCTACCTTTATAATCACTTAGGTTATCACAGTATTTTTGTTTTGTTCAGCATACTTTTTAAATCTAGTTTTGTTACTATCATGAATATTTTTCAAGGTATAAAACAAAAATAGTTTTAAAGCAAAGCTAGCATCTACATAAGAAATTGTCTAATTGCATGAAACTTGGTACAAAGTTTCTGCGCATTTGTAAACTACTGTAAAAGCATCATCAAAATATTTGAAATAGTGCTTATTTTTACTGATTCACATGTATGTACAGAACGTAAAGCTACTAACTAAATAAAAACCAAAGTAATTTTTTGGAAAGACAAACACACAAATCAAATATTACAAACTTTAATATATACTGATTTCAAATTTTTCAAAAAAAGAGGTACAAAATATGACATACATTAGCCTTGCTGCATAGACAATGATCATCACGAATGTATACTTTGTGTTAAAAACTCAGAATAAAGATTAATAATATCAATATATTTATTTCAGTGTTTATCATGTTATTTCACCTTTTCTGTGCTTACAAGTACAATTATATAAAATGTAAGGTCCTATATTAAGATGTTGTACTTCACCTTTTTTTTATGGTTAGTTTTACTTAGAAATTGTGTTCTCTAACTACTGCATTAAGTCTAAACTTTTTGCTACAACCTTAAGAAAAATTATAAACAGATATAGACAAAACAAAGAAACATACTGAAACAACCCTCAATCATAAAAGAACAGACAAGTTTACAAAGAAATATTACAGTGAACATGTTTTAGATTTATTATGGGACACAAACTAAAAAATATAAATAAATGCTTATGTAGCTTTATTTTAAATAATTAAAAGCTTTAAAAGACTAGCGTAGAACAACAGTAAATTTAGAAACTGAGGTACAGAGTATAATTATGAGTATTTCTGAAAAAGACATATAGTTCAGCTTTGAGACAAAGCAAAAAAATTCTTCCACAATAGTAGACATTCTTTCAATTCTAACAGTGCTTTAAAATTAAGAAAAGAGGACTCGTACCACTTCACTTTAGAAATGTAAAAATAATAGAAACTTTTTTCTATTTTTTTCTTATTTACAAAATTTTAAGAAAGTTTGTTGGTAACATTAAATATTTTTTCTAATAATTATATATAGTTTAGTTGATACTGTCTGAAGCAAATAACCTTTCTTTGAATGACTGTTGGAAAGTATATTTTATTATCATGATATCTCCTGATCTGATTGCTTTTTTTCTAAGTAAATTCAAATTACATCACCTCGAGACTGAAATAGGAAAGTTTAACAATCATAATATTACTGGCAGTGAAAAAAAAAATCAACATATTAGCTTCCAGTTATAGGAAAAAAAAAGACCTACTATGTATTCATCAAAAAATACAAAGAGATTGTCAAACTGACTGTAAAAGAGCTATGTAGTCAATGTTTTAGACAAACAACATTCATCACACATATTAAAATGACTTGGATAATGCTGACAATTTTATTTCTTTTTACAGCTACAACTATTTTATTTGTATTACCAGATTTTACCATGTAGTAGTTGCATTTGTTTTTCAGTTATTTTAATACAAGATAAAAAGGGCACAGCTGTATCACTGGATAAATAACTGCCATAATATTTAATCTCAAAAACTTTCTATTCAACCATGAACTCAACTAAAGAAACCACTTTAACTCACTTAAACATGGGCTCGGTCAATTTGACTGACCACGTAACCTCTTTGTACTCGTTTAAAGTCTTTA